CAGTTGCTGTAGTTTCTCGGGCTAGTTTATTCCACTTGTTGGTGTCGAGCTGCATTTGGGGCTTTTGCGTGAAGGGAGAGGATGCACATGTTTTGTAGTTTCTTCTCGTTTCTAACTGCTTTGGCAGACCTGTAAACTAGATAATTTAAAGGAAATTAAATTACAACGATTATTCAAGGAACTGAGACTTGATTGAGCTAATAAGATGCTTTCATCACACCAATATTGTAAAGTAGAAAAACATGGAAACAACTGACATGCGTTTTAAATATTTCACATTTGCTCATTCTGTGTTGATGTTCATGACTGATATATTTCTGTCTTTTTCTGATGACGCTTTTAAATTGAACTGTTTTAGTTTATTTCACCATTTTGACCAGAGCTCCTTGCAAGAAGAGATGATGCAACATTATAACTGAAGGCTTTATTTGTAATATGTGTTGCTCCATGTGAACTTCCACAGCAGTGTTAATTTCAGTGGTCCAGTGTATAATTACTAAAGGCAAGAACTATATTTTCCTCCTACAATAATTGGGGTCAGTGCAGTTCTAGTTCTGATTAAATTACATTAATTAAAGTGAAAACCACTAGGTACTTGCTTCATATGTCTAAAAGGACAAGTCTTAGTTAAATAATTAAGTCTAATAATCCTTTCAACAGCACTGGAGGTGAACAAGGTGCTCATGTCCAAAGACAACAGCTACAGCTGTGCCTCATCTAAAGTTAGAAGCTGAATAATTACTGAATTTGTGGCGTCGACATGATTGTAGATGAACTCGCTCGGTGAGCCTCTACCCTGCTCCTCAATACGCAGGATCCTGCATATTTTAGATATGTCCCTGCTCCAGCATTACTGATGCAAATGGTTGAATTTCATCCCCAGCATGCCACCAAGTGCTGCACAAGCCTGTTGATCACCCATTCTCCCGGTCCATCACACCACCACTCATGCAGGGCCATGGGTATTTGACGGCAGAAGGCAATCTACCCGTACAATAATACAGAATTTTTAAAGTTTGATAAAACTGATCAGCGATAAATAAAAGCTTTTGATTATTTTAAAGGTCCTTTAAAATAGCAGGCGAGTTTCTTTACATCCGAGACTTTCACCAATACAACACTTAGTCATTTCTGCCACCATTTACTCAGTAATAAAACATAATATTTCCTAAAATAAGAGCTAAATCACTGATGGATTCTGAAAACATACAATCCTCTGGACCTGGGAATGTTGTCTAAAAACTAACCTCCTGAATCCAAACTCAAAGTACATCTTACAAACGCTTCAGTTAGATCATGCTGTAGCAATTAGATAAAGCTACGTTGCATTATTGTTTGGCAGTAATATAAGCATGAGAGATGATGAAAACCCACTCAGACAAGAGATTACCAACTGTCGACACCATATGGTGCCATAGGCCAACTCTGAAGGTGACGGTGACATTATGCAAGCGTTTACCCCCTGCCATTAGTAAATTATTTGGTTTGTTCCGAGAAAAGACCCATTGCAGACTCTAAAGCAGCGGGACATCCTTTTCACCATGATACAATGGATCTTTAAAGTTTTCTCCTCCCCTTAGCTTAACACCTTCCGAATTAAACCCACTTTACATTCAGATTGAGGCACCACCGCCCGTCTTTCCCTAAAGCAGTCACACTTGCTGGTGCATAAATATAGACTGCATTTCACACTCTGTTTCTGGTCTTTGTCGGAGCAAGAGATGGATGAACAGCTGTCTGCTTGCTAAACCAAGTATATCACTAGGCTCAGGATGTATTAGTATATGCTGCTCTGCTCGAAAATAACAGCAGTTTGTTTTAAAAATGTGGATAAAACACAACACAATAGCTTTTATTTCCACACCTGCAAGTGCATTGTGAACTACTCTAAAGACTCTAAAGAGAACATGATGAAAAATTGATCCGATTTGTTCTCGCTATGCGGAGAGGAAATCTACACTTTTCCTCTAAAACGCCAACATTAACTGCACAATTCTTAAAGATTTAACTTTTCTTTGAGTCATTCTACTAACATCTAGTTTTTGAACCCCCGCTTATCAGAACACATTGACACCTGTGCTGTGATTCTTGAATACATTTTATTATTTCTTGGTAAAAATTCAGAACCGGCATGTTTAATGTCCCGTCACGAGTTTCCTATCAGTTTAAAGTCTGGGCTGCCCACTCCATAAGGCTCATCTCCGTCTCACTGACGCAAGTACTATGGTTACACTTAAACCATTTGTTTGGTAGCATTTTGGGTTTCCAGCTGGAACCATAATTGCCACAGAGTGACGGTTAAGACACAAAAAATGAGTCCTCCAAGTTGTTTAGATGCAGGAACCATTGCTACAGCAACTGCTGGATGGATGTCCAAGGGTACATTAAGCTACTTGCATAATCAAAAAACTGTCTGTCATAAGGTCTGAAGAGATTAAATTAAATCAGAAAACTAGAGACCAGATTGTTGAATTTGTGGCAGATATACAAAAATGCATAATAAAGGTTTATTTGAAGCATAATTCGATCTTTTAAGATTTCTTGAAAGCAATATTAAAGTCTCGTTCCATCTCGTTCTCGTAAAATCAGTATGTCTCGTCTTGTGGGTTTTACGTATCTTTACACCCAAGTGAACTGAACATTTTTTGAGAATCTAGTTTTGGGGATTCGTAATTGAGGTTATCCAGTGATCTTAAGGAAAGTAAGGGACATTAAACCCAAACGTGCCACATTCGGGGAATCCCATGTGTGTTACCGCGGCGACAGAGGACCCTTTGGTGGACAGCAATGGTGATTGAGGCTGTCAAGCGGAAAAAGCAAAGCAACAATGGAAGATTTACGTGTGACAAAAAAAGCAAAACCAGAATGCATCTGCGGGGCAGGAAGACAGGGGGGATTACGTTGTTGCTTTTTTTAAAAGCAGGTATACATGTGTGTATGTATGAATTAAAAAAAAGGCCTCGTTTGTGGAATCATGTGATTTATGTTGCCAGTCTTATTATGCATTCTTCCATGTGATTTTTGTCTTCTCTGTATGTGTCCAAGCTCAGATGACTGCCCCCGCATGCCTCAGCCCAAGTCAGCTTGCATTAACGCAGCAGCGTCTTGATTAAAAACAGCAAGCAGACCAAAGATGGCTTCAGACGGAGCCAAGTGAGCCACATAGACTGATCCTCTGTGCCAGAATGATGCAAACGTACCTGCCTGTGGGCCTGAATTTTCATATCCAGGCTCTCGACGTGGACAACAGCAAGGACATCATTCACATGTGTCCACTAAATTGAGCCGTGTGTTTTCCTGAAGAGCCGTCACTTACACATCCTCCTGCTGGAAACGATTACTGAAGAATGCCCTGCCCTTAGAAGACATAACTGAAGGTTGATGTGCTTTATGTTAAGAGAGATGAACTAATTTGTCAGCTGAGGTTCATAAAGCCCTGATGAGGTTAGGAATGTTGGCAAATAAGAATAACAGGGATGGAGTGCAGTTTCACACGACAGGAGTGGAATTTTACATTTATGAATTATTTTTTCTTCACTTTTGTGACATCAAACTCACTAGTTTGTGCTATTTAGCAAAGGTAAACATTTACTTTTTTTGGACCATTGGATTTTAAACGCGTTCATTCCTCGAGTTTCAGTGTCAAGTTAAGACTTTAGGTGTAAAATATGAATATTTGCTACTCTCTGATTTAACTTCTTGTTATAAGAACACAACACTGGATTATTTATTTATTTTTTTTTACATTACCTTTAAACTTTTCCCATTCCTAAATGATAGTTCAAGACCGAAGAATAAATACCGACACTTTAAAAATCTCTCACGCATTTAAAAACTAGCAAGGCAAAATTATAGCAGCTAACAATTAGCATCCTAGCTTAACGCTTCCAATCAAATATTAAAAATAATAATGTGCATGAAATTATAGTGCTCATTATATTTAAAAAAAATACTGTGAAAAGAAGATTTTAAAAGGTCATAATTTCGGTAAGCTTTTTTTCTTGCACATCTCAACCGTAAGAGCTAAAACCATTTGTGTACTTTTTACATTTTTGTAGGCAGAACAACGCCAGCCACTAGGGGGAGCACTTCACGTTTTAGCTTCAACTTCCAGGTTCACTTTGAGTGTCCAGCTTTTACACACAGACTTTCTGTTAAAACACAAGAACAACCGAATGCACTGAGACACTTTTACAGTGGTGTGGTCTGTTATATGTAAGTTACACATATTAGGTTACAAACATTTTAGTTACAAGTGTGCAAAAACAAAATAAAATTACAGATTTTTACTTCAACAGAGAACATATGAAGTGTAAGAAAATACAGTGATAAATGTGAAATCTGCTAATTCCTACTGTTCCCAGTGAGGAAAAAAACCGATTGTCAATTACATTCTGTCAAATATACCATCATTATACAATCATTGCATGTTCTGTATGCATCACCTTGAAGTTCCTTTGCTCTTTAATATAATTTCCACTTTAAAAACATTCTTTTGGTATGGGGCTAGCACCAACATTTAGCTAAAAATATAAAGTGAGTTGGTGCCAAATTAATGACAACTTAAAATCTGGATTAAAAGGTAGCAGCTATTAAAAGATACTTTTATTGTCAGATGATAAAATCATCCACCGTCCAATTTGAATAATTAAACATGTTTTAAAAAGTGGGTAAACTTTTTGGTTGGTTTGCATTCATAGCAAAATTGTTTTTATGCTAAGCTTAAGAGATTCTACTTCATCAACTTCACTGTTTAGTCTTGCTGAGAAAAGCCAGAACAAACTGCATTCTTTACACTAAGCCCCATTTGTCAGAGTTTTTCTAGGTCTGTGTTAACTGTCAACATAAAGCGCCACACTGCTGCACTGTTAGTGGAAGGTGCTGTGAAGCTAATTTCACAGAAAACCGCATCAGTACTTTCGACTTGCCTTCACTCGACTCTAATCGCAGCTTCACATTTTAGACTTGTTCTTCTCATCCTCCTCCTCCTCCTCCGTTTCCTCTGTTAGGACAACAGCAGCTTGGCGGCGTAGAGCAGCATTCCACTCAGACCGGCGGTGGCAGCTAGGGCGATCACCCTCACTAAGAGGAAGTCCATGGAGTCCTCCAGCTTCGTGTGGAGCCGCAGGACCTGCCTGTGGGTGTCCTCTCGGCTGCCCGAGTTTTCAATGACGTGGTTGGCCAAGCCGCGCTTCTCGTTGAGCGGCATCTGCGCTGCCACGCGCTGCTCGGCCTGCTCCTGGGTCAGGTTGTCCCTCTGCATGAGGCGCTGCAGCTGGGTCGCAGGGTCACTGGAGAGGGTTACAGATTTCTTCTTAAAGATCACTCCCGTTTCTGCTTTCGCCACAAAACGTTTAGGATCGAACAAATAGCCTGATATCCGACAAAGATAAGCTGATTAAATATGAAAGAATTTGTTTTTTATTTTACACACATTTAAAACTGTAAACATCTCTCGCTGCGTCTGCCGTTAGCTGAGGTTTCATTACAAATGTGTGCATTCAAAATTCAAACCTTAAGATATCTGAAGCTTTCAAATACGAATCCAGTTTGGGAGTGATCTTACCAGTAAACTACCACGGTGTGGTTCAAAAACTTGGTGAGGCGTCTGGTTTCAAACAGGAGGGGAACATCCAAGACCACATATCGGTAACCTGGGGAGTCATTGTGGATCAGAAATTATTAATATAAGCACATTTCCACTCTGAATGCAAACCAGAGCAGAGCATGATTCAAGTTTAAAAAAAGAAAAGAAATCCCATTAGTCTGTTCTTCTGAATTTGAATATCACTGACACAGTAAACAATGAGGGTAAACCACACAATTAGCTGCTCACAGAGTGCTCTACAGAAGCTATTTACTGGAAAGTTCAGTGGAAGAAAAAAGTGGCTGAGAAGAAACGAGCACTACAAATAAAAAGGGCAGTGTGACTTTTTTTTTTTGCATTTCATGTGGAAATCAGGGTTCCAGAGTCTGGTTGAGGAGCGAAGAGACGCAAAATAAAAGCTGTTTGAGGTCAGGTGTGACGTTTCTACAGTCAGTGATGATTTTAGGAGCCATGTCAAGCGCTGGTGTTGATCCATGGCAGCTCATTAGTACACAAAGACGCCTCACAGGAGACTTTAGAGCACTTTATTGCTCCCTCTCCTGATAAACTTAATGAAGATCCTGATTTTATTTTCCGATAGAGCTCATCTGTTCCCACTGCGAAATATCAGCTTTAATCACCACAGTATCACGGCTTAATTGGACAGCAATCTGATTGGACCTGAACCCCACTGAGAGTCAACGGAGTTTTGTCAAAATGAAGCTGCGAGACACCAGAGGTGACGCAGACAGAGACCTGACCAGGTACTCAGAGCGTATACGTCACACAATGTGGAAAAACTTTCTGCTTTATTTCTTTTTTTTTTATGTCTTCTGTCATTCGACAGAAACCAAGCAACATGTCACCAACAATAAATGCTGAAGGCAACTGTTTATTATTTAGACATAACAGAGCAGCAATAAGCATTTTTACTTTATAAAGATTTTGGGTTTTTTTTTCGCTTCACATATAGTTTTCAAAGGCATATTTCTGGAAGCTGCCTGTAAGAAATTAGGTTTTAGGTATTCATCAGCTGGAAGCCGGGATCATCAAAATGCTCAGAAAAAAGCCACTAGAAATGCATCACTCTGTAGCAAATCTCTAAAATAGACATGTTAAGGCAATTTACACATATATTCTAATTTACAGAGATGCATCTGTACAGTGATTTATTTATTTCTGTTTGTAAACTCCAAAACGAGACACAAACCACCCTCACCTCTCAGGAAGTAGAAGATGATCTCTTTGAGCATTGCTTTGTGAATCTCGGGGTGTGTGATGGAGTTTAGCAGCCTCCTCTTCTCTTCGTGGGCAAAGATGATTTGGCCGAGCTTCTGCCGGTCAATCTGCCCGTTCTCCAGCAGAACCTCGTGCCCAAAGTGGTAGACGATCCGGGAGTAGGCAGGAGTGTGCGGCTCCACCACTGACATGAAGGACGAGGAGGAAACGTTTGGTCATGCTGTCACAAGATCAACCAGGTAAAACAGCTCTTTTATTACCTACGTGCTTAAAATATTACAGAAACAACCAGAGTGGTAAATTAAGCATGAGCGGTAAGCAGAGTAAACACTACAGGGGTGGGATTTTATACAAGTTTGCAACAGATTCATCACTTGCCTGTAATTATATAATTTGCATAATCCCTCGTTTTATTTCACACACACACACACAGCACCACACTCCTCTCCCACTTCTGTGACCTTTCTAATCTTCTCTACATAACTAAGACATCATCCCTGGAGTCAGCGGAGACATCCTTCATGATTCATAACACTCTCTCCAAGCATTTGTCTTAATGAATTCATTTTATTTGAGACAAAGTTGCCCGAAGACGACTTCCAGAGGATGACACGATCGGTTGATATTGAGCAAACGGAGCAAGAGACACTGACTCTACCTTTCCTGGCCACCACGTCTGCATCTATAATGGGGCAGCCGAGCTCCCGTAGCATTGAGGAAACCGCGCTTTTGCCCGAGGCGATCCCCCCGGTCAGTCCCACCAGGAACATCCTGACGAACACACACAGAACGGCGCGTTCACGATTAACAACAATATGCGCTTTCCTTTTGTCAATTTTGAAATTAAACCTCTACAGTTAATTTGAACATAAATGGTTAGGTTAATACTTAAATTGAGTGCAAATTGCATCCAACTGTTCAGGAATAAAACAGAAAATAAAAGCAGAAACTATACCAGAGTCAAGATGTTGCACATTGCCCTGAACACAGCCTCTCAATTGTGAAATATGGTGGTGGTAGCATCATGCTGTGGGAATGCTTTTATTCATCAGTGATAGAAAAGGAAACATGTAAATGTTAGTCTTTTAAATGACCCACAGAAATTGAAATTTTGAAAATCTCGGTCCTCATAGACAACTTAATTCATGAGAAATTGAGAAGCTGGATGGGAAAATAATTATAAATACCAGATTTAAAAAAAATGTAACATGTTAACAGCCATGTGAACATGCATTGTACTGTAAAAACACAGGACTTTAAGTAACTGTGACATCGAAAAAAAAAGGTGCATGTTTCCTCAAACTAATGGAAAGAGAAATACCTAAAACAAATATCAGTACTTCAACATAGTTTTACTCAGATAAAAGTACAAAAATATCCATATAAGAAATTATTCAAATTCTAATTTTTACTATATCAGACAAAAATTCTAGTATTCGAAAAAAAAGCACTTATACAACTATAAATATAGTCAGAATATATAGTTTACAGTGCATTCACTTCATCTCCAAATGACAAAGCAGGCTCTGCAAACAGAAGTCGCTCAAGTAAATGTAAATAATTACTACACACATGACAAAATGAATATTTTATAAACGAGTTTATAAACAAGATGTTAACATTTTATTATAAAATGCGCATGTGATTATATTACTAAAGATACAAAGTTAACATGAAAAATAAAATAAATACTAATATATTATCGTATAAAGGGGTGCGGGGAAATCCTCAAAATACCAACATATCTGTTTTCAGTGTCTACTCAACACGCCCCCTGATGGAAAAGAAGAGAACCACATATTAAGTACCATGTCGCTTCTGCATAACTGGTTAACTGGTTTCACTGGTCCAAACATTGTTATAAACCAAGTTAATCTCGAGTGAACGCGAAGTTAAAACCGTGAAGAATCTGAACTGCTCGGAGAGGTTATAATTAATCGCTTTCTCAATGACTGCTTACAGAGCCATTGATAATAAATCACAACCGTTAAGTTAGTCAATATCTCATTCTTTTTCATATTTACCTTTTTCAAAGTTAGAGAATCGTCAAATCAGTTGAGGTACAGTAGAAATCCGGGGAGGGTCACGGTGCTGCAGCATTAAAAACAACCGGGAATGCTAACAGGCTAACGTTAGCAACAGTGTTCATCAGGTTAAAACGACCACAAACATCCGACCAAACGACACAGTCGTCATTTTTAAAATAACGCAGTCGGAGCTGAAGACGAACAAACGGGTTGGAGGTAGATCTATAGCGCGATACCACTGGTTTTATATTCTAACTTGCACCCTATTTAGTGCTAGCAGTGTAACCTATTAGTTTTTCCAGGGCAACCTAAATATGACCCCGGGCTTTCTTCCTGTATCAATATTAGTTCCGCCTCTTAAAATTTTTTTTAAAATAATATTTATACCTTAGCTTTTAGGCTAAATTAAGAATTTGTAGATTAAACGCAAAACACTAATAAGATTATCTTAATTATAAGGAAAGCACAGTTTTATAAAATAAAAAGGGGGGATTATTATATATTTTCATCGCAGATATTTTACAGCAAAATTAAATAACTATGTTATCTTCAGTTGTTATAAAATGGCTGTATATACAAAACATGAACTTACTTTGCAATTTGACGTATAGAAATTATCCTCTGTCTCTTTAAGAAGCTCCTACTGCCACTCCTACTTCGTCACAATAATGCTACTTCTTCACTAGCAACCACAGTGGGACTGAGAAGTAGTGACATGATAAAGTCTGTGACTGCAGTTCCACCAGACTGATGTCACTTGAAATAAATTGACTAAATGCATAAATAATTATATATTCTCTAAGTGTAAAATGTAAAAAAGAACATTTTTATTATTTTCAGAAAAATTTATTATAATCTTCTTTTGGATGAGTTAAATAATTCACTTAAATAACCAAAGTTAGGTTTCTATTCTGGATTTAGTTCATTAATCAAAATTTTAAATAGTAGGAACATACCTTGCCATTTTGATAAAGTGGGGGAAAAATAGATCACATTATATATATATATATATATATATATATATATATATATATATGTTCAAATTCTTGTATTAATACCCTCAAACTGTGGTATTTTTACTTAAGATGATCATACTGCAGGAATCTCATTGTCCAATGCCTGTTTTTGCCTCGTAAACACAGCACTGAGATTTTGCAGTGCAAACTGAATTTTTTTGAGGAAAAGAAATTGAAATGAAAGATAAAATTTTTAATAATCTCTTCCCTAAAAGAGAAAAACTGAAAACAAGAATTACCTCAATAGTATGTTTAATTTGAAGCCAAGCCCATGCTTGCACAAAATTAAATCCGTTTCCTGAAAAGAAAACCCTTTTTTTTTTTTTTTGGTTTTACAAAAATGAGCAAAATTAAATCCTGCAAGTCAGTCATTGTCCCAGAAAACAGAAAGTTAATCCTCTTGTTTCTGCTCCACAGTTTCTTTTGGAATCTGAGAGGAACCAGACGGAGAAGACGCGTTGTAGGAGTGTTTGGATTTTTTCCCTCTGTGGATCATTTCATCTCCGTTCTCTCCTTCCTCTCGCTCCAGTCTTCCTCTCTTAACAAAGTGGTTTATTCGGGACTCCAGGCTCTCGCAGCATGGACGCTCCAGCAGCGGTCGGTAATTTTTCTGCCTGCTGCCTTCTACCAGGCAGCAGTGGTTGGAAGAAACGCCACCTGTGGATCGAGAGCAGGAACCCAATTTGCACATGACTCAATACTGTTTCACTGCATTCATTTGGACTTTGTTAAAAAGACTCAAGGGTTTTTCTCCTTTCATTTTTAAAGCTGGTTCTGTTGACAACAGTATTTTTGCAGTAGTCTTTTTGGCTGTTGAACCTTTTCATATTTTCATCATTTCATAACAAAACAAAAAAAAAAAAGCTTCAAAATAAAGTTTTTTGTTGCCAAGTGTCTGCAAATGGTCCACACCAAGAGACTTAAATTCTTGCCCTTCCTTTCCCCCAAAAAATATTTTTGCTCTAAATATCTTCCATTCCAAAAAGCACATGATCCACATAGAGGCAATTAATCACAATATATTTTATCTAAGAGTACCAAACTTTTTTTTTCTTCAATTTTTAACACAGAACTCCTCACCTCTCTCCTCCAAACCCCGGATCATCCCGAGCAGAACGTGGGCTTTGACGGCGCTCTGCGTCCAGTGTCTCTGTAGTGACGACAGGACGTGGCTAACCTCTTCCGCCTCCTGCTGCCAGGTCAAACCATCAAAGTGGCAGTCGTACAGAACCAGAGGGTAGTCCACTGCCATGCTGCAAGCCAGAAGAACAAACCTATGCAAATTATCTCCTGTTAAAAGACGCCCCAAAACGCCTCTGCTGTCTTTATTTGCTGGAGAGGAGTGGTGGCTCTACAGCAAGCTTATTGGATCACAAAGACGAGACTCATGGTTTTACCAAGGTTCTCTTCAGGACTGGCTTCAAAGGTTCAGCAGGAAGTTTTTTTAAAATATCTCCAAATGAAAAACATCGTCTTACACGGGTTTCATTTATTTATTTCTGTTTTTTTTTCTCTTACTATCCTACTTAATAAAGGTTAAGGGTATTCTTTTATTCTAAAACATTGTTAGTTTGATGTTGTTTTCGGTTCAAAAAAGAAGAGCTCCTGAACTTTTTCTGATGATAAAAAAAAAAACACTCAAGGTACTTCAATAACCTTAATTCTAATTTGTATCAGCAAAAAGCAGCCTAAGTCTCAACAGGTCATTTTGTCACCTGTATTGAGGCTTTCTGGGGTTTTTCTCAACATCCAGGAGATGATCGATTATCTCTGGAGCTTCCAGCTTCTGTCCTATCAAAAGAAGCACCGCCATCATGCAACGAACCTGCAACAGGGCATATGGTTAGTTGCAAATTACCCCCTACTTAAAGGGATGCACCGGCTTCTCCTGAGTGTTAACCTCTTATTACCTGGTGGTAAAGGAAGGCTAATCCTTTGATCTCAAACACAAACAGATCATATCGCTCTGCGCTGGAAACCTGCTGGGGCTGCAAAGGCCTGACTGAGGCCGACAAGATGGTCCTCTCAAAATGCAGGACCCCGTTCCCCACGTCCATTTTGCACAGGTTGCGAAAGTCGTGCGTCCCTTCATATCTGTTGGTCACCAAAAGGTCTTTACATTAGAAAAATTATGGGGTGAAATCAGCATTTACAGTTTTACACTCACCTTTTTGCAGCATCTGCCATCAGCTCTACATCCAACGACCCTCGGGGGAAGTAGTAGCGGTACGTGCGGGACTGGCAGTCGAAACGCGCACTGAAGCCTTGCTCTGCGGCTGCCCAGCCCAAGATCCGAATGTCCTGCGGCAAAACCCTGTTCAGCATCTTCACGTACGGAAGCTCAGAGGCGGAAGCTTTTGATTTGGTGCCGAGATCGAGATTTTCAGGGAGGGTGACACCAAGTCCTCCACAAAACTGGGAGGAGCGCAGGTCAATGGTTATAACCTGGGACGTGGAGATCTCGATTATCATTTAGTTAAAGCCCATTCAGAAGACACACAGCAGCGTTTAAATAATTATTACCCCTTTAAGTTTTCCATATTTTGTCATTTTGCAAACACAAACTTTAAAGGAGACCTATCAGGCAAAATTCACTTTTTGCACATTTTTATAGTTCCATATGGGTCTCTACTGCTTCTAAAAACAGCCAAGTGTGTAAATAATACCTCCCAGAAGTTTTTTGGCAATAAGTTGATGTTTTGTGGTGTCTGGAAAATAAGCATTTTCAAAAACCTCCCGATTGGTGAATCACAATTGATGGGCACTACGCCGTTACCTAGCAACCCAAGGATTTCCCGATTAGCTGGTTTTACGGCTGTAGAATGGCTGCTGGAAAAGACAAGTGTTTTGCTGTTGACTCGCCATACAGAAACCACTTGCTGCATTCTTGATAATTGTGCAGGAGGCTCTGCTGATACTTTTCAAAGGCGTTCGGTTGTGCAATTGTGCATTTGTTTGCAACCATTTTCAGGTGTGAGTGTAAACCCTGAGTTGTGGGGTGGCGTGTCTCATTTGTAGAAGAATTAGAAATCCATTTTGTGTTTGTCCGTCACCTTTAACGAACTGAATAAATGATGTTTAAAATAAACGGGTTTGTATACCTTTTAGAAGGCATCTGGAGGACTGATTTTCATCACGTTAAACTCACTTGAGAAAAAGCACTGACTCCTTTATCAGTTCGACCACAGCGGTGATAGTTGGAGCTCTGTCGGTCCTGAATCAGCCGTGTCTTCAGCAGCGCTTCAAACAGCCTGGCCTCCACTGTGTTGTCCGTGTTCTCCTGAACAGCGAAGCCCTGGTAGGCCCAGCCCAGGTAAGCCAGCTTCAGAGCCACATGGCGCCGGGGGTGTGAGCTGAAGTCAAAGGGGCGCTCCTTGCCTGACTTCTTCTTGCTGCTCCTGGTGTTCTCATCAGACATCATGAAGTCTGAGCTTTCACTTGGGGGTGAACAGGGATTTCTTCCCATGTCTCCTCCAGCACTTTCCTTCAGCTGGGACCTGAGCTTTTCCAGTTCATCTTCCAAGAGCTTTATCCTCTGAATTAAATCACCCGACATGCTGGATAGATAAAGAGACCAAAAACGAAACATACTATTATTAAGCTTCCAAATATTAAAACAGATGAAATTGTAATGCTGGGATTTAACATGGAGAAAATATACTGCTGACATTTAATGTAATTTACTGAATAAATCAAATTCGCAGTTCAGAATTGCTACAAGGCTGCTAGCTTAATATAAAAGGTATAGAAACGGGATTTAAGAAGTTTAACACAAGCTCTAACTTTTACCTCTACAAATTTACGAATTTACCTTTATGTTCCCGTCAAATCTCCACTTTCCAACAAATCTTTGGCTTGCCGTAACGAGCACGCTACTCTCCGTGTTGCTGCTAACACGGAGTCGGACAACTTTAGCAAGCGGACATTCCGGCCGAAGAGGACTCTGGGAAATGTAGTTCACAACGAAACCACCAGGGAAAAAAAGAGTAGGACAGGGAGCTGTTTGATGAAACTGAAGTAGGAGATTAAGGTGGGATTTTTTTTTTATGTTCCAGATCTAAACTTTCATTGATTTAGTGTCCCTAAAACAATGACACATTTGTTACCATGGAGATTTATTCTTTGAAGTTAGCCTGCTCTACGCTAGATAAACTGTTAGCCTAATCTTTCAGTGTGTTTTTCTTACTGTACAGTTCAGAAAAGATATGCTTTTTACACATAGTCCATGTTTTTTTTTTAAATCAAGAATCGAGTACCTTGTTATGTGTGCATTATTTATTTATTTATTATTATTGAACAAATTTTCTTCCAATATTGCTCTGCATTTAACTCAGACATCTTCCCCATCAACTCTGACCTGCTTCCACCATCCATCATTATTTTGCTAAGTAGGCTAATTCATCATATAAGAATGAATTAATTCAAAGAGCCAATAACCTTTAACCTGTATAGCCTACTGATTTGAACACTGTTCTTAGAAAGACCTAATAGGTAATCAGTTTAAAATTAATATAGAATATGGATCAGAGCATTTTCTTTTTTAGGCTCTTTATTGACTGAAGAGATTTAAGTAAAGGGGATGTTTTTGAGCATATAATCACATGAAACAAAAATATATATTATGGTCAAACAAGTTTATTAGTTTGTTTGTTGATGTGTGAAGATGGTTGTGATGATGAATTAGTCGACGTTCTCATAATTTTTGCGTTTAATGTTCAGACAGAGGCACACTCCGACTATCACTCCAAACACCTGCAACGGGTAAAAGATGGAGTTAGACGCTGGGAATAAAATATTGTAGCATACGTAAGGAGTTGCTTTGGCTTTTAAACTAACATAACTGACTCTGAATTTGCCTGAGTAAGAATAGAGTCTGATTTTTGCAGAATCCTACCAGGTAAAATTTACATTTGCTCCATAAATGCAGTGGTTAAACATGTGCTTCTTTCGTGTATTTTCCCAAGGGGAGATGTAAAGCCTACCTTTGACTCACAATCTGGCTTTTAATGAATACATTTTAGTATAATTTAAGGTTTCTGACGTATTATTAAAACCTGAAAGTAGTTCACCTCTGTGATTCCAAGAGCGATGCAAACGCCGCCGACCCACACCAGATTCTTCAACAGAAAGAGCTTTATAGCTGAGATACATCCCTGAGGAAGAAGACAGACAGTTTAACCGTTTGTCCTCAGAAACGTGGTTAGACTCTTAAGCTGAAATATCTCAGCAGAGCAGACCTTTTTGTGAGCTTTATCCTTGTCATGTCCACAGCCTTCTCTCTTCTCCGGGCAGCAGGAATCTGGCACGGCTTCATGGTTTCCCCAGCCCACACTTCTGGACCAGTCGGTGTAAGTGTCGGCGCCGCAGCAGCTGAACTGCAGCGAAAGTTAAAGTAGAGAAAGGTTAAAAGTTAGAAGTTGCATCCTAAACGCCTAAATTACATTTAGTCAGTTTTGAAAAAGAAAGGAACGGTCTACATGCACTGGGAGAAGGTGGTTTTTCAGCCGTATCAAAATCATTGTATTTTGCAAACTGCAGTGGAAACACTTTTCACTCGAGTCATGTGATCAACAGCCGAATTTTTACTACCGGTGAAAACAACGAAGACGACGACGACAGGAAGTGGTAGGAGGATGAATCTGCAGGTTTTGGCTTGTCTTTCACTTTGCTGCGGGGCCCTCGGTGAGGGACATTTAAGGTTATTTCTATTCTGTTTCTCCCAGTGTTGTTGATCACCTTTTCCTGAATCCTGTTGATGGCGTGTCTGTTCTTTGGGCTGTATTCGTAGACCGCGGCCCGAGCTTGGGTGTTGATCCCGCTGTTCATCTGCAGAAGGGCAGTCTGCAGAAAAAAAATCAGATCAACACAAAGCCATGATGGCGCAAGCACTTAGTTTTATTTAAAGTAGTATCATGTTTTTTAAATAATATGATATTAAAGATATCTTCAGATCCACCCTTCAGTTTTTTTTTTACTTTGATGTAAAAATAATTTCCTGAAGGAAGGATTTAAATTGTCTCACCCTGCTGCGAAATATATAAAAGGCAGCTCCTGTAAATATCTCCAAAAGGATGATGATTATCAGGATGCAGATGAACTAATCCACCAAGAAACAGAGAAAAAATAATCGTCCTTTTAGATAAACTTGAGCCACATTTAACGAAGACAGTTTTAAAACTATTTTTGGAATATTTGGTACATACACAAGACACCATGGTAGAATTGTTCAGGAATGCCCCACAATGTCCCAAAATGGACACAAGGGCGATGACGGCACCCACTGCAATGAGGACGATGGCGATTTTGGACAAGCCGCTCCCTGCAAAAGTGCCGATCTGCGAGTAGGTCGAGTACTGGAGAGCTCCGATTGTGATGAGGGCGACCCCAGAAGCCTGAAGGACAAAACGAAACACCTAAGAATGCTGCTGTTGCAATATTAAGCTGAGCTAACACTCACAATCTAGTCAATTTCTTAATCTATCAAATTTCAATCTGAAGAATTTATTATTTTTACTGTTTTATTGAGTAATCTATGAAAAAACAGAAGAATCTGAAGATTTCTGCATACGTTTATAGGATGTATTTTGTAGATCTAGAATCAACAATAATCTCAGGATTATTTGAAGAGAAAAATAAGAAATTAAATTTATTGTCATTCTCACTAAGCACTACTTTATTGATACATTAAGCAAAAATAAACCCAAAAATGTTATTTTGCTCTTCTGAGGGGAGGAGACATCATGGCAGACTAATTAACCAATCAGAAGCTGTCATGTTAGGCAGCCAATAAAAGCATGACTTCATTTAAAAAAAATAAAAAAATTCTTTTTTAGACTAACATTTCCTAATACTCCAAGAATGAAAATAACTCTTTGACTGAGGTTTTTGTCACAATATATAACATTCCTTATATCAAAATATGGCATTTGTGTTAAAACTATGACTAATCCAAAATTTTCTCAATTTGTGAGAAATTGATTATTTAAATTAGACCTGTTTCCATACGCTATAATGTTCATAGAAAGACATGGAAGAAGTTTCCCAAAGTCATAAAGATCAAGTGAAAAAGAGCCCAGAAAAATAGATAACTCATCTGTTAAATTGTACATAGTTACGCTGAAATCAAAAAGGGTCGCAAGATTACACTCTGTCTTCAAATTATTCATTTGGGACTTTTTAATTAAGCTTGGTCTGTCCTGTCAATTTAACTGACTGTGAAGAGAACAAGTAACTACGCTAAATAATTTCTGAATTTTGTCCCCCATGCATTGTTCATTTATAGAAAACCACAATACCTGGAATAATATTTTTATTTTTTTATGAGAAACGAGAGAAGAGCTCTTCTTTTCAACTTAGCGTTTTCATCTTTTTTAAGAACTTCCTCAGACAAGTGGCTGTCAAGATCTATGCTTCCAGTGCTGTATTTACTAGACATACGGTGCACTCTCATTATTTTTCCTGTTAAATATGACATGCATGTCACTTAAAAATGCAGGTTTTTGTTTCTCCCTGCTAACTCGTATCTTTTTTATGATTACTTTGTATGTTAATAAATTTGACCAGTGTATCTCCTAACCCTATTCTTGAAAAGTAACATTGTTGGCAGTACTCACCAAGAAGATGCCGTTGAAGAAAACGAACCAACATTTGATGCTGCAGAAAGAACACATTGTGAAACAATCAGCTCTATGTTGCCTTGAACTGAAATAGCAGAAAAGCTTTAGGCGTTCCTCAGTCGACAGCAGCTCACAGTCTATCTGAGCTGCTCTGTGCGTTTATCATTCAGCTATATGAAAATGAGAAGTGGCTTGATTATGTTTAAACAGTCGTATCTGATCAAAAGGCAGGACTCATTTAATCTATTTGCATTGTAGCATCACGCAATATGAAGTAAAGAAGTTGCTCATTTGAAATCTTGCTGGTTGTCTTTGTCTGGTGAACCATTTAGGAGAAAAAAAATTGTACTCAACTAAGAGCAGCACTCCTTCAATTTATTGTTGTCAGGCAGAAGTAAAAAGTAGTTATTCAACTTAGAGCAATAGTAATTTATGTATGGAGAGACATTATCGGACAGAAATATAAAACTATAAGCAAATTCTTTCACTTTCTAAGATCACAAGATTATAAAAAAAAATCATAAGGTTCTAATGGAGGAGAAAGAGGCCCACAGCATAACACATCCTCTACTGTATTTATCATGAGGGGGTTTCCCAGTTTTTCATCTTTCCTATCACATCATTTGGAGGGTTTGTTCCTGAAATGCTCAACCTTAATCTGATTTAACCAAAGGAAATGGTTCCTGTTAAAATCCTATCAAACTCCACAAGTTTACATTTGTGATGGTAGGATGGCAAACAATTTTTTTTCCCAGGCATGCCTGACAACAACAAATGTGTTGTTACCTAAACTGTTGCCATCTAACGTACAGGTACCTTCACAGTTACTAAAAATGTGACCAAAAGTCTTGAAATAAACGGCTTGTTATGGATTCTTTGTGATTTTTCTTTGTGATCTTGCTTACTTTGCACAGTGTCAAGAAAAGGTCGGGTTCTAATCCAGTCTAATGGCCAGATGTTGGATGTGTTGCATCATATTTATGAGATATGACATTGTAGAAACTTTGCAATAAATGTGTTTTCTTCAGAAAACATGGGATTTTTCTCTCTTTGCCACAGCTTAAACTCTTTCTCCAGCATTTGGCTCCTGAGCATCTGCAGGAAACCTGGTCCGACTCCACAGTCTGGAAAAGACTTGAGGCCTCCGGCCTGAACACAGCAGTCTCCATCTGAAATTGCTCCGGGGATCCCTGGATTTTCTTTGTTCTGCAGATCTTCTTATGCTTCAATCTCCTCATTGTTCTTTTCCTGATTTTTCTCAGAGCTTAAGCCAGGCACAGTAGCCTTAGAGGGGACCACAACTTCTGGCAAAAAAAATAAAAATAAAAAATTAAATCACTTCTCCTGGAGGAAGTTTCTGTCAGTTTTTTTTTAACTTTGTAGCAAACAAACAGAATTACAGCTATAACACAAAGTTGTATTTAGCAGCTTATAGCACCCTGAATGTAGAAAAGATCGCTCAAAAAACATTTATGCAATTGTTGTAATTAATCACACATCTTTTTATTTGATAAAGTACCAGAAACAATCACAAAACAACAATAAACCTCACAATTAAGAAACAATATTCTTCATCAGCAAAGTCCCAAAATAGTAATACAGCACCAGAGAGATCAACTTTGTAAGATGTAGTCTTATCATGCCTTCTTTAAGTTTCTGTTATTAAATACAATTTCATTAATCAATTTAATCCCAAATGTCGACAGTAATTTCTATCAATTTTGTGTAATTTTTTTTCTGTTGTGTATTTTCCATTTTCAGCATATATCTTACTTGGCCTAGAAAAAGTGAGCTCACCTTATAAGCCGCACCTACAAAGTTTGTTTTAAAAAAAACTGGAAACGTACCTATACTATCAGATCGATAGCCCTCAACTTAAAAGTTGCATCATATGAACTTATTCGTGTTGCTTCCTTGATGACAGGGTATGAGTTTGAAAACATTTCTCCGTTGTGCTTGCTGCTAGCATGTGCTTGCTCTAAAGCTAAACGAAAAATGAGCACTTTCTTCTTTGATTTCCAATTTTGACTTCCAGTGATTCACTTCCTGCTATAGAGCCCCCTGGCGGTTGAAGAAAAATCCACAGAAAAGCCGCACCGGGCTAGAAGCTGCATGGTTCAAAGTGGGGGGGGGGGGGAAAGAAGGGATTAAACCCCGAAAAAAACTGATTTTTTTTTAAAATTACAAGTCCAGTTTAAGTTGG